CCTCTTCATTCTCAATCTAAAGATCAAGGTTGAGATATTCGATCGTCAATGGCGATCGAAGACTCCACCGATAGTTCCAGCAGCAAAGCGGTCGACTCTTCCTCCCTCTTGAACAACAACATCAGCCGCCTACAGTAGCAGTGTAAGGACCGTAATTTCCGATTTTGGTTTAAAATAAAATTTTTTGTAAATTTAAATATTAAATTTTATTTTTATAGAAAGAGTATTTATATTTTTTCGACTTTCTAGAATATTCTATGATTTGAATATCCAACTTTTTATTTATTTTAATGATTATAAATTTAGTTGTTACGGTGAAAACTTTTTAAATTAATATTTTGTTATTTATTATTGTTATTATTATTATTTGTATTATTAATTATCTTGTATTAATATTTTTAGCTTGCACCCCTTATCCCCTATCATTATTTGTAGCTGTCATGTAATGTGCACGACAGTCAATTTGTTATTTAGCTTTTTTCCTGTGTTTTTCTCTCATAGTCTCTCTCTCTCCTCTCTACCCCACTCCGCTAAGAGCATCTCCAACAGCGTCCCCAAAAATTTCTCCAAAATGGGGAAGCAAAAGTTATATTCTCCAAATTATTTTTACTCCAACTCCAATAGCTTCCCCATTTTGAAAAATCATGTATTTATTACAATAATAAAAATATTCTACATCTTTGACATGAACTTTAACAATAAAAAAATTTAGACATGAATTTTTTATTTTTCGCCCCTTTATTTTATAGTGTTGAGTCGTTTTTTGAGTAGTTGGAGACTTGAAGAACGTGTAACATTTATGACAAAGCTCTCCCTAAAAATTTAAAGAATGCTGCAGATTTGGGGAAGGCTCACTTTGTTTTCTCCTCCATCCATATTTTGGGGAATGGAATGGGGAATCTGTTAGACCAAAAAAAGCCCAAAATTCTCCAAAAGTGAGAATACCAATAAAATGGGGAAGCTGTTGGAGATGCTCTAAATTCCTCCCCCATGTTTCCCGCATACCCCATCCCGCGTGTTTCGCCTCAGATTCCCTCTCCCCATCTCTCTCTCTCTCTCATCAATTATCACTCACCCGTTTCTCTCTCTCCTCTATGATTTTAACAGCTCACATCTCTCTCTCGTTCTCACTCTCTCTCTCTCACTCGCACCCTCTCTTCATTCTCTCTCTCTCTCTCTCTCTCTCTCTCTCTCTCTCTCTCTCTCTC